GTAATAATCCCCAAGGTTTTTCCTAAGTGAATCTGCTTTTCCCATAGTTCCTTTCTGGGCTTTCCTCTTGTCTCATATTATACTTTAATTTGCTCCCTTTGTAATTACATAGTTTTTGACACCAGTCAAAACATGATTTGCTGGAACTCCAGGGCACACCACTCATGTGATCATGTACTCCATTCTCTGTTTTCAAAATATGTCCTCTCACCATATGCCAGTGGACTAGGTATGGCAAATATCATAACTCCCACTCCGTAGATTAGGAAATCAAGGAACAGTGAAAAAGGATTTAAAAAAAATTTTTCATCCAACAAGATCTGCTTACTGGAAATTTGTCCACTGTCTCCTGATTATATTTTAAAATGTGTCAGGGACTTTCTAGTCATTTCTTAGATGAGAATGAAAGCTAAAAATCGCCACAAAATGACTAAGAAACAAAATGAGGGCATTTGACTTGTGTATGACATACCTGCTTGAGCCTGGCTGTTTTTCTATAGTTGGAAGTAAAAACATTTTTGCAATTTGGAAATTTGAACTGCGGGCTCACTGAGGAAACTAGGTAGACCCACTGAAGCCCGGTAAAGGCAGGGAAACTTATTTCAAAAGATCATGGGAACGGTGAGAAGCCAAGCCCCTCTTTTTCTTGAAGCTGAACTCATGGTGTCACATCTGAAGCCTGGAGTCTGGGAAGATTTCCTGTAAAATAAGAGGCTGTCTGTAAAAAGTGCATTTAACACTTCTCTGGAGAAGGTCAGCATTTTATTTTTAGAGAAGCACAGGTTAAATAAGATCTTAATGCAATCTTCTATTTCAAAATTATCAAGTACAAAAAGAAGTTTCTTATTTTTGAGTAGGGTTTCAATATGGAATCATCAGGAGAAAAGTAACTCATTCCTTTTCATTTTGAAATGAATTGTCCAGCAAGCCAACACAAGTCTTGCTATGCTCTAGAAATGTCAGGGACTTTCCCAAATAAATTATCTACTGCCTGTGGGATAAGAACATGGCTTTCCCTTATTCACTCTCTTTTTAAATTTATTGCCACAATTTTCACAATGTACAATCTAAACTCTCAGTGATCTGTAATGCATCACTAGGGGAAATTATGGTGAAAAGTCAGAGAATGACCTTTTATTTTTCTTAATAACCCAAATGTAATAAAAACCACATGTAAAATAAGCCTGTAAAAAGAGATTATCTGTAGTAGCATATGTTCAGTGTTAGAAATCAATTGCAAAACACAGTGGGAGTATGTCATTATAGGAAATGACAACTTTAAAAAAGAAAGAAATGATAGCTTAGCATAGATCTGTATTAAAATAAAAATTCTCTTTGCTGTCCTGTCTGGCCATGAATATGCCTTTTGTCCAATATGGGAGAAAGAGAAGGACCAGCTCTCTATTAGTGCAGCCTAAGTATTTGTCATTTCAAGCAGAGTCTAATATTTATTAGGTATTTTGTACAGCCGCAAGTTTATTCATCATAAATTTTCATGTTTTCAGGCTATTCCCATTATGATTAGTTGTTTCTGCGTAGAAGTAAGTGATAGAAGGGAATGCCCCATCACCAAAAGAAAGCAAAAATCTGTGCATTCATTTAACATTCATGTAATAAATAGTGACTATCTACCACCATTCTGGAAACTAGGGTTTAAAAGGTCTAAGACTAGAACATGATTCCTATTTTGAAAGATATTACATTCTATTAAGGGGATGGATTTGTAACTGAATGATCAGTACAGTGGGACAACTAGCACAAGAAATATATACAGAGTGCTACAGGAACATGGAGGGAGAAGTAACTATTCGGACAAGTTCAGCAAGGCTTCACAGAAGCAGTGACAACGTAGGAGCCTCTGAAATGTCAACAAGATTACAGCAGCTGGGGCAGGAGCCAGCTCATTGCCGACTGGGTGAATCCTGTATGATGCATCCAGAATCCCTGAACAGCACAAGGCATGCTCAGGGTACCCTGCCCCATAGAACTGGCATGCATAAAGTAGGTAGCAGAAGGCAGGATTGAAATGTTAATTGGAGTTGAGTTTGTGATGGGCCAGAGTGCCTTCTGTAAGACCACAATCTGTATCCTGCTACCCACTGGCTCCTGCTTTGATTATCAATACACAGGGCAATATTAAAATATTTAAGAAGCAGTATGGCATAGAGAAGATGGGTCAGAAACTATGCCCATCCTTATGGCTGCTGGAGCATGGTGCCTGCCAGGGTTCCTGGAATGTAGAGTATCAGGGAGGGGCCAGGGCTACAGCTGTCTATCAACCGCCTTGTTCCCAGTCGCCATAATTTTTACTCTTGTCACAGCCAGTGCAGCTGAGTGACTGCTCTGCCATCAGCCAATCCCTGAAGACAACTAGGAACTTGCTCTTTAATGTCTTCTCTCTACTGTAGCCCCTGGACAAACATGATTTCATCCTTTAAAGATGTCTGGAATAAATTACCCTCTCGTCTCCCCACTGCAGAGCGATCTCTCTGAAAAGCACAGCTGATCAATTCCACTGCCCTTATTAAAAATTCGAGGGAGTGAATTCTAAGGGTCTCAATGGTCTGCCCAACACACGGACTCTTGTGACCTGGCCTCTGTGGCTTTTTAACCAATTCCCAGTTGTCCACTCGAACACATGCTCCCCTGGGCAGTTTAGTGACACCAGCAGTGCACTCAGGTGATGGGGTGGTGTAAATGTTTGCTGTGGCAGACCTCAGGCTTACCATGGCCAGATAGGAAGTGCCTCCCTACCCCCCTCCACCCCCTGCTATCACAGCACCTAAATATACTTGCAGTGGTTACTTCTGTTGAACATTGATAGGTGGCTCAGCCTGGAACCATTTGAGAAATGAGATTGGGCTTTTTGTTTGTTTAGATAATGGCTTTGAATCAACCCCTGAAGTCAGGGAGGCAAAAATATCAACAGTGATGAACAGATGTTGACAACAGTCGGTAATTGAAAAGTAATTTAATAAATGAAAGACAGATTTCATATATGTTATGGATAGAATTTGTTAGTGGGATCTTTGCATCCACATCATTAGTAATAATATAATATCAGCACTTATCCTATTACAAACTGTATTCTCATGTGACACTTACATAAATAAGGTGTTATAAATGAAGTCACTCAAGATATTTGTAAAGTACCAAGTTGTGTGCACTGCACAGTTCACAAAATAGAAATGGGTTCTCCCCTCCCACAACTTATGGTCTAGTGAGGGGAACAAATAATATATAAGTAAACCTTCCTCCATGTCAGCTTCCCACCTTCCATCATCATCTCTCACCTGGTCCACAGCCTCCACACTGATCTCCCTGCCTACGTGGAATTCCTTAGCCTCTCCAACCTCTCCAAGATCAGCTCTGATTGGACCTCTGTCTACCCCTCCAGTTATAAAATATTTCACTGTTTCCCTGCTCTACCCCACTGTACCCCGCTCTGCCATACGGTGCCCTACTCTGTCCAACTCTGCCCTGCTTTGTCTCACCAGCTCCAGCACAGTGCAGCATTATCTTCCCGGAACACTAAGATCTGATGCTACTCACCCTTGCGCTCCCCATGACTGCATTCTCATCCTTTGCATCTGACATTTGTCCCTTCCATGGTTATTCTTTATTGAAGAGCCCTTCCTTGCACTCAACACAATTAGTAATTATCTCCAAATCTGTTAAGGAGAAGCATCTGAAATTAAGGCTTTCTTGTGCAGTTTAGAACTGAGAGGAGAGAATTGAATCTTGAGATTTGCAATGCAGGCATCCTTTTTTCTGATTCCAAAGGGGCACCTAATTAAATTACTTAGGTATAGTTACCAAGTCTCTTGCAATCAGCAAAGGCATTCTCCCTGCCCATTTTGGTTAGAATGAATATCTCTAAAAAATAGGATATGCTCCATTGTGAAGCAAACATTAAAAAAGTTAGGATGCATTAACAAAACCATAGGTTGGGTTAGTCATACGGTTAACCAAACCTGAATATATTCAATAATTCAGAATAGGCCTCTCTTGACAGCTGTGCTAAAATGAAGAGCAAACATGAATAGTAATAAAAAAAAAATCAAATGCTGGGAGAGGAGGAATTTTCAAGTCTTAAAGGAGAAACTCTAGTTTAGGAACAAAGTATAGTTCAGAAATCTAAAATGTAAGAGAAAGGCAGGGTCTCAGAGTCTCCAGATACATATTTAGAGCAGATGCTTTTGACGGTAGACCAGACAGATGGAGCTTTTTTAAGATTTACTTATGCATACAAGAACCGGGGTATAGGCCAGAGATGCGGGGGCTGAGAGGATACACCAGAGACAGAGTGAGGAGCAGAACAAGCGAATGGATCAAAATACACTGCTGAGGGGAGCAGCGGGCCAGACAGGAGAGGTCTGCTGTGCCATGTGTGTTGGCTCCCTGGCCGGGGATCAAACTCATGCTGCAGTGGCTGTAGTGACTGCAGATAGCTTCGTAGTGCTGTGATTTAACCTCTTGCGCCACGAGGGAGGCCCCCAGACAGATGGAGTTTGAAAGAGATGTGAGGCAGGACAGAAGGAAAGGGTAGTGGGAGAGACAGAAAACTCATAAAAGAGGGAAGCAGTAACAGACATCAAGAATTACTGGGTCCTTTAAGGCCAAATCAAAGATTTGGCATCCCTCTTTAGTTAGTTGTTGGTGGTGCTGGAGATAGGAGTGGTTTCTGTTGACTATTATGTGGTTACAATAGGCAGGGGGAATGGTGGTGAAGGGTCAGCTGATTTCATTAGAGAGACCACTTCTTTGTCTAGAAAAGGAAGCTTTCTTTCCCTGTGATTTCCATTCCCGTTCCCATCTCTTAGTGACCATTTGTTGAAGCTGTGTTTCTGGCCATGAGAAATAGTATTTTTTTGGTGGGAGTTGTGTTTTTTTCTCCTGTGGTGTAGAGTAGTTCAGGAATGAAGAAGCTACATCCTGCTTATAAACTCTAAAACCTCAGTCCTTCCAACGTGTTCTCTGGTTTTGCTGTTTGTGCACAGTCTGCCACGAGTCCTGTGCAACCTGCTGGGGTCCCACGGAGAAGCACTGCCTGGCCTGCAGAGACCCCCTTCAGGTGCTGAGAGAGGGCAGATGTGTGGGCAGCTGTGGCGACGGGTTTTACAACAAGCAAGGGACCTGCAGTGGTAAGTGCCACAGTATCTTTTGTTTGAAGTAAACCATCACACTAATAACCAACATTTCTTTTACTCAGAAAATATGGGAATAACTGCCAGCAATCATGTTGTTTCAGTAGTTTACAAAACATGTTCTCTTGTCACCAGCGGGATTCCCTTTAACAGCCCTGTCCCCTTGACAACTTGTTAGGTTGTGATCCTCATTCTAACTTCATCCTGCAAATGAAGACAGCGAGACTCAGGCCACCTGCTCAGACCCATAGCTGTACAGAAGGGCAGGGCTTCCTTTCTCTGAAGCCTTCAGCAACCCTAGCCTGCCTTCCAAATTTTCTTCAAGACGAAGACACTCAACCTGCATTTGGGTTGGTGCTACTGACTTAAAGCTGAGGCACTGATTGTTCCACCTTTCATACTCCCTGTGGACAGTAAGAGTTAACTTAATGATTCCTTGGGCCAGGCACTCATCCCGGTGCTTTATAAACATTAACCATGGAGAGGCAGGAAGTCTGGGGAAAGTTACTTCCTCTGAGTTTCAGTTTTTCCTTGTGAATATGATATCTTAGATGGTGAGGAGCTTCCAGGGGTCTGTTCACGATCTGGTGATGGAAAACGCATCCTGAATTTTCCCAGTGGACCCATGTAATCTCAGGGTCCATGTTTGAGGGAGGCAGGAAGGGTACGGCCAGAAAAGGATCTGAGACTGAAGCAGATTCTTTAACGCCAGGAAGGAGCCTTGCACATGCACACGGCCTCCAGTTCCTGGAGAAGACAAGGAAATGACTGTCCTGAAAGCTCCCAGAGGACGGTATTTCTGCTGAGACCTTGATTTTGAGACTTCTGACCTCTAGAGATGTAAGATAATGTGTGGGTTTGGTCCAATGAGTTTGTGGTAATTTGTGACAGTAGCAACATCCAGCTAAGAAGGCTATTCAGAGGATGATACATGCAAGGCATTTAACTCAGTGCCTGGAACATAGTAAATGCTATGTCAATATTTTGTGTATAATCCTCGCAACAATGTCATGACATAGTTATCATCATCATCATCATTTTCCAAATGAAGAAAAAGAGAGGTTGAGAAACTTGGCTAAAGTTATAGTGTGAATAGGGGGAGAATTAGGAGTTAAGGCTAGGACTTTATTACTTCCTAACCCCGCCACTGCTCCCTGTGATATGTTACCATCATGCAACTCTGCTATTCTCCCCTCTCTTCTCATTACCCTCTCCCCACTCCCTCCTTCCCTCTTCCTTCTGTCTTCCTGTCAACCTTTAGATCAGACATTTTCAGTTCCACAGGTAGCCATTGACAATGAATGAAAAGTTTGAATTGAGTTTGCTGTGGTCATACCTGTCGAAAGTCCATGATGATTTTTTTTTTTTAATAACTGAGTCCACTAAATCAATAAAATGTGCAGCCCATAAAGCTTTCTTGAGTTATTGTCCTCATTTTGTTTACTGAGCAGGGCAACAGCAAAAATGAGATGATCTTTGGGACTTGACAAATCCACTTATCTTAGGGAAGAGAGATAGCCCTTGGCAGCTGCTTGCTTAAAGCTGGGCAGAGATCCATCAGCAATGCTGGTGTGAAAAATCTCACTTGATGTGGATGAGTCACAGGTGGCTTTTGTGTGGCTTCAGGAGAGAGCAAGGGGGGGAAAAAAAGACCAGACTGCCTTTAGCCAGAGCATTTTAATCTTTATATGCCAACATCACTTTCTTGCTCAATTAGGCCAAATGTAGTCTTTAAAGGTCAGAAGATGTCACATTTGTACTAATTCAAAGGCCTAGAGGCATTTACCTTTTAAGTCCCCAAGGAGGCTGGGAACTGTCACAGATGAGGAGCAGTGACACTGATCTGCTGCTGACATGGTTTTATCTGCACCGAGAGAGCAACTTTTGTGAAGAGCAATTTCTCAAATAATATTGTTTCATTCGACACCATTTCCTTCTTTTTCTTTTTCTTTTATAGAGGTAGCATTAGTTTACAACACTGCATGTGATGCAGAGGGATAGGTTCAGATGTATGTTACCACATCACACACTCCACCAAGGCACCCACAGTCTTCCTCCACAAGCCATCGTGCCCCTCCCCTTTTTACTCTCCTGCTTCCCTTTCCTCCTCTGGTAGCCTCATTTCCACAGTCAAGTATCTACGGTTTGTTTTTGGTTTGGTTTTGCCTGACCCTTTGTTTTGCTTCTCTATATTGCATGTATGTGTAAAACCATCTGTTATTTGTCTTTCTCCTTCTGACTTATTTTGCTTAGCATAATCCCCTCCAGTTTCATTCATGTTGTTGCAAAATGATAAGAGTACACCATTTTTTTTTTATAGGTGAGTTCTATTCCATTGTGTATATATATCACATCTTCCTAATCTAGTCAACTGTCTTTGGGCACTTAGGTTGTTTCCATATCTTGGTTATTGTAAACAGTGCTGCAATGGACATAGGAGTGCTTTTATCCCTTCAGATTCATGTTTTTGCATTCTTTGGGTAGATACCTAAGAGTGGAATTGCCAGATTGTATGGTAAATCTATTTTTAATATTTTTAGAAACCTCCATTCTGCTTCCCACAGAGGCTGAACCAGTCTACATTCCCACCAATTGTGTAAGAAGGGCTCCTTTTTCCACATCCTCACCAGCACTTGCTATTTCTGGTATTTTTGATGTGGGCCAACTTACATCAAAAATAAGTATGAGGTGGTAACTCACTGTGGTTTTAATTTGCATTTCCTTGATGATACGTGATGATGAGCATTTTCTCAGGTGCCTGTTGGACATCTATATATCTTCTTTGGAGAAGTGTCTATTTAGCTTTTCTGTCCATTTTTTTAAATTGAGTTATGTATTTGTTGTTGTTGAGTCATGAGTTCTTTGTATATCTTTGATATCAGTCCCTTGTCAGATATATGGTGCATGAATATTTTCTCCCATTCCTTAGTGCTTCTTTTCGTTTTAATGTTAGTTTTTTTGGCTGTATAAAATTTTTTTCAGTTTGATATAACCCCATTTACTTATTTTTGCTTTTGTTTCCTGTGCTGCTGGAGTTGAGTCCCCGAAAGTATCTGTGAAGCCAGTGTCATGGAGGATTTTGCCTGTTTTCTTCTATGTATTTTATGGTTTTAGGATTTCCACCCAAGGCTTTAATCATTATGTTGTTAATGAGAAAAAAAACACAACCCTGCTAATGTTGAATGAAATTACATCGTTTGAAGACTTGCTTTTGGTATATATACAATTTCTCTTAAGGTCAAAGTTTTCAAGAACCTATCAAGAATGTTAAATGAGGACTTACTTATTTAGAAGGAGGAAGGGTCAGTGTGAGCACGGATGTGGTGAAAGTTGGGAATCTATTTGAGCTGAAACATGGAATGAAGAATGTTAGGGCCCCATGCATACTGGAAGAATGAAAGAAGACAACTATTGGATAAGTGACTTTGGTAGAGAGCATGCATCTGTAATGCCAGCTGTACACATCTTGAAACAAAGCATCAGAAAGAAAACCTCTAAGAGAGGAAAGACCATTGCTGGCAATCAGCCAACCATCAATTGATCAGCCAGCAATGACTAAATGCCTGCCATGTTCTTCACATGGTGCAAGATTTTGTGATGCCACTGGCCTGATTGACATGATTGGAGTTTACATTTTCATAAAATTGTTAGACTTCTTTTAAGTCTGTATCAAATGCCTTCACAGATGTCTGTATAAATATTTTCTAGAACAACGGTGAACGAAGTCACTGATTGGTATCAGAATGTTAATTAAGACGCCTGATACTGATAAAGCTGACTTATTTTCAATTCAGATCAGTGCTATTCAAGATAAAGACTGATTTGTGTTGGTTTAATAATTTATAACCAAACAGCCTATATCTGTAAAAATCTCAAAGTCAACTGCTGAGAAAAATCCAGCATAACCTGTTATAAACTGTGGTATGTCCTGGCTGAAAGAATTTGAAGCAATCAAGTTCTTCTGTAGTACATGCTTTGCATTTTACAAATATTAGAAATAAAGGGTGGAGAAAGTCAAAGAACTAAACCTCCTCATTCTTTAGTCTTTAATACTCATGCCATTATGCAGGCTTTTTTCTGACTCTAGCTAACATAATAAATCAAAGCAAGTTCAAAAGTTTCTGTTAGCTAGTCTCTCTCTTTCTCCTTTCTCCTTTTCTCTCTCTTTCCTTTCTTACTTTTATCCTAATTACCCTTCTTCACCTAGGCAACTATATTAATTTTTATATTGAAATATAATTGACATGCAACATATTACTTTTAGGTGTGCAACATAATGATTCAATATTTGTATGCAAAATGATCACCATAAGTCAAGTTAATATCCATCACCATAAATACTTATAATACTTTTTTTTTCCTACAAGAGCTCTTAAGATCTACTCTCTTAGTAACTTTCAATATACAATGCAGTATTACTAACTATAGTTGCCACACTTACTTATTACACAGATGGAAATTTGTGCCTTTTGACCCTCTTTACCCATTTCTACCTCCTGCCTCTGGCTACCACCAATTTGTTCTTCTGTATCAATGAGTGTAATTTTTTTTTAAGATAATGCACAAGAGCAGGATCATATAGTATTTGTCTTTATCTGGGTGACTTATTTTACTTAGCATAATATCTTTAATATCCATCCATGTTGCCACATATGGCAAGAGTTCATTATTTTTATTTTATTTATTTTTTTTCTTTTTTTTTATTTATACAAGCACTGGGTACAGTCAGAAGCGCGGGAGAGTGAGAGAATTCACCAGAGCCAGAGCGGGGAGCAGAGCAGGCAGAAGGACCGAAGCACACTGCTGAGGGGAGCAGTGGGCGTGGCAGGAGAGGTCTGCACGCCATGCGGGACCCTCCTTCAGTGGCCGGGGAGCAGCCGGGGATCGAACCGGCGTTGCAGAGGCTGCAGGCAGCTTCGCAACCCAGCGCTCAACCGCTGCGCCACTGGGGAGGCCCAAGAGTTCATTATTTTTCATGACTAAACAATATTCCAGTGTGTATTTGTCCATTGATTGGCATTTAGGTTTTTTCCCTGTCTTGGCTATTGTAAATAATGCTTTGATGAACACATCTTTTCAAGTTAGTATTTTCATTTTATTGGGATAAATACACAGAGGTAGAATTATTTTAATTTTTATATCTTTGTGGTTTTAAGGACTTATGTAAATTGGATATTGTCATTTTGAGTATATAGTATATCTGGATATAGATATATAATTTTCTTAATGGTATTCTGTTCACAGTCTCTTCTTTTTTCATTCAGCGCGCTTTTAAGATTTACCTGTGTTGCTCTATCATCTACCCTTTGCTTCTTGCTGTTTCATGGTACTCCCTGGTCTGCATTTGTCATACATCATACATCCCCTCTTGTCACTAGAAAGTGCCAATGAACAACCTTAAATATGTCCCTTCTATGAGCCTGAGTGGGTGGTTCCTTGAAATTGATAACCAGGAGTAGAATTGTTGGTATCTTGACTCTGCATATTATTTATTTGATGGTTGACAAGCATCTACACTCCCAAGTACGAGGGTTCTTTCATCTCCATATTCTTGCCACCATATAGTATTATCAAGCTTGGAATCATTTTCTGGTCAATAGCCAGACAGGCCTTTGCCCTGAGCTCTAGACCTGTAAATCAGATTCTTTACTGAACTGCATGTATCCCAAAGTGAACCCATCAAAATCCCCACACTGCCTGGTCCTTCTTGCATTCTGTGAGTCACATCACCTATTCCCCAAGCTAGACCCTTGAAAGTCATTGAGGCACTTTCACTTACACAGCTCTAAAATCCATCACCTCATCCACTGCCAGGATTCAACTCCTAATCATTCCATTCTGTCAATTTTGCCATTGTTTTCCAATTAGGCCCTCAACTTTCCTTTCCCAGCCTTCCAAACTACCTTTCCAAGTGATCTGTCTTATACACAATCATGGCCGTGTTTGTATTTGTTTAAGACTAAGACATTGCAGAGTCTCATCCTTTCATATATGAGAACCTCTAGACTGTCATTCAGGTTTTTATAATCTGGTCCTTACTACTTCTCCAGCTGTATGGAATTTCATTTTCACTGGACAGCTGGAACTTTATCAGACTTTGGATTTGTAGTTGCCTTGTTACTTAGCTGGGATGTCTTTTCATCAGTCTGTCATGCTCAGATTCACTTCTCAAGACAGTGCTCAAGGGTTGCTTCTTCTGTGAATCCTTTCTGGCCTCTCATACCTCCTATGTCATGTACATTTTTGGACTTTTCATAGTGCCTTTACAAACTTGCCTGAGTCAATCTTTAATATCTCTGGCTTTGTGTGTGTCTTTCTCTTTCTATTAAATTAACAAACTCCTTAAAGGACTAAGATGGTTTTGTTTTCATGTTTCTACCACCTGGCACAGTACCTGATACAGGACTTAAGAAATGTTTTGGGGACTAAATGAAAAAGTAAGTGAACAAGTAGACCCCAGAGGATTGTGTAATATTCAATAATCTTAAAATAATTTTTATAGTGTGATCTTGCTTAGTTGAACTTTGTATTTCTGAATTCTCTCTCCAACTAGAAGTGTAAGATAAAATATAAAATGAGACATTTCAGACAAACTTAAACTGAAAAAGTATTCATTATTTATCTGAAATTCAAATTAGCTGGGTATCTGATTTTTTTTATTTGCTAAATCTGGCAACCCTACCTTCAAGGCTATTTTGAGTTTGAATTTCATATTAATTTGGATACACTGGTGGGTGTGCCCAGAGTGCTTGTTATACTTAGCTCAATGAATAATTCTTTGGTTCTCCATCAACTGTGAAAACAGGAAGTGAAGAGTCCTCTGAAATGTTGGATTCAAGGAATCAGAACTCAGCTGAACAGTCAGAGAATGAGATTACTATGTTCCTACCACTGTCAACATTATAAAGAATAGTTTCTCTATTCCTTTGCTCACAATTGACTTTCTCTTATGGGGTTTCCTCTTTAGCTTGTGACCAATCATGTAAGAACTGTGGTCCCAAGAGTGCCAGGTGTCTTACCTGTGTTGAGAAGATGGTATTACATCATGGGGAATGTATTTCCGAATGCCCTGGTGGGTACTATGCTGATGCCACTGGCAGATGCAAAGGTAAGTCATAGGTCATCATCATCATCATGACAAAGTATTTAATGCATGTTTGACTAAGTGCTCTGTGCAGCTCATTTAGGAATTAGTGTGTGAAATGGGAAAATGACAAATTAAAAGGAACCATTTTCTATAGAATCTGTGTATAGTGTAGAAGTGGGAGATTGGGTGGAGGCTGGAGGACTAGTGTGATTAATTTAAATAAAAGACATGTGTTAATCATCAATAGACATCATTGGTCCTTTTGAAATGCAGAAAGTCTTTAAGATTGACATTCAGTTCTTGTATACTTGTAAGCATCACTAAATTAGGTTGTAGGTATGACAGAATCATTTCTTAGATGGGTTTTATAAATGGTGTATTGGCAACTATAACACATCACAAAAATAAAGTAAACCAAGTCTGATAGCTTATAAATCTGAAGTCTATCTTTGGAAATTTGGTTTTATGTGCTATTTATGTATTGCTTGTTCCAGACGCATACAACCTAAGCTACAAAACATTACCATTTGAAGCTTTATAAGGTTCTACTTATATTAATATATCCTTGATGTGTGTCTCTTCTTGCAAGCAACTCTGGGAACTTACTACTGCCTGGGAAACCTTAATTGCCCCTCCTTTCTGAAATATACACACACAGTCTCATTTCTTCCTATGGTAGTCATGTTAGTGGCAGGTTATTTCGACCTGCCCCACAATCTCTTCTTTTCAACCTCCTCTTTATCTGCCAACCTCTTTACTTACCCAACTTCCAACCCCTTTCCTCAGCATCCTGCCTCCAACGGTCACATCCTACCTCCACATGCTCTCTCCCAGCTCCTGATTATTGTCTTCTGAGGCCTTCTACCCATATCTCACTCCTGCCCTAAGGATAAGCCATAGTGTCATTGTTTCTTAGACATGGGGATGTCCCACTGCTACCTCCTGTGACCAAAGAAGGGGAGAGGCATGCATGGCATTGTCATACATAGTGATCAGACTATTGAATATAATTCTTACTTAGAATCCTATCATGTCCCACTGGAACTATCTTAAATGACCTAGTCCAACTTCTCACTGAGCATATGTCAAGGAAACTAGGTCTACAGAGACCCAAATTGGCCAAATGCATCAATAAGTTGCTGGACAAGCAGTTAAAATTCCAGAGCTCTCAATTCTTAGACCCATGAATTTCCTAATTTTTCCTTTTCGGATAGTGTGAGTTTGGGTTTCGGACAGACCTCAGTCAGTCCCAGCCCTGCTATTAATTATCTCTGTCAACTTCAGTAAATTTTTTGGTTTCTCAAGACCTCAGTTTCTTCATCTGTAAAGTCTGACTAGTATTGCCTTCCTCCTACTATTACTATAAAGATTAAAAGTGGGAATGTATATAAGGAAGACACTTAAGCACTAAATGAAGGAAGTTAATAAATAGTAGGTAAAAGATAGAGCTTCCATATGATCCAGCAATTCCACTCCTAGGTATTTACCCAAATGACACAGAAACATTAATTCAAAAGGGCATCTGCACCCTTATGTTTATAACAGCACTATTTATAATAGCTAAGCTTTGGAAACAACCCAAATGCCCAAAAATAGATGACTGGATCAAGAAGATGTGGTACATATACACAATGGAATATTACTCAGCCATCAAAAAAGATAAACTCATGTAAGTTGCAGCAACATGGATGGAGCTGGAAGGGATCATGCTCAGCGAAATAAGCCAGAAAGAAAAAGAAAAATACCAGATGGTCTCACTCATAGCAGGAATCTAGAAAACCTAACTAAAGAACCAGGAAAAGGAATAACTGTAATAAAGAAAAAATCAAAATCAACAAGCAACTGTAAACCAGAGACACGCTATGGGGGGGTGGCGGGGAGAGGAGGGATTAGGGTCAAAATAAGGGGGGTGCAATTGTATGGGGAATATAAAAAAAATCTTAAAAATAAATAAAGAAATAAATAGTAGGTAGAGCACAGGTAAAAGATGGGTAAAGGGCATTGGCATTGGTGGCAGTTCTGGAAATATAACCATGTCTAAAAACTTTCCTTGGTCTGGTTTGATAGTTTGAGGGAGGGTTGAGAGTGCTTTCAGGGAGGGTTTCTTCCCATCAGGAGCTCCTACAGGAAGTGAGTCCTGTGGTCACTTGGTCCCATGGTGTTTTCCTTCTCATTCTCTTCCTCAGTTTGTCATAACTCGTGTGCCAGCTGCTCCGGACCCACAGCCTCTCACTGCGCAGCCTGTGTCAGTCCCCAGGTTCTGCGCCAAGGCCGCTGTCTGTCCAACTGTGGAGAGAACTTCTACCCTGACCAGGGCATCTGCAGAGGTATCAACAGTGTTGCAGTTGTTTTAGAGAGAATTTCCCAAGTTACTTTTCAGTGAAATTTTTCCTCTAGTGTGTCTGTTATAGTTGGGCATTTTATTTCATTAAAACATTTCTGTGAAGGTATCACAGAAATGAAAAAATCTCTTTGAATATTTGTGAAGACACTTAGAAGTCTATGATATTTTTCCTGGCCATTCTAATAATTTCCATTATCTAACATTAAAACAAAACCAAACTCTCATTTTCTTTTCTCCTAGAATGGCTAATGTTTTTCTTTGTCTTCATTTTGTTGTTCCCTGTAGAACTTCTGTTTGTTAATGATCCTGCTGAGTAAACTACAGTCACTAGCAATGCCTCTGGGCTAAGTAAAATGGAAAATCTTAAATAGCTATTTGCCAAAAAGGCTTTGGGCTCACTGGGAGGGCAGTGCCATTTGAGCTTTTTGAAACTAGAATATTGGGAGCAAATGGTTTAATTAAGTGAAATTAATTTATGTTTATTTATACATCAGTTACCTTGGAAAAGAATTTTACAATAGTTATAAGAAAAATGCATTCATACAAGGGCAACTGCAATAAATATTGTGAAATAGAAAATATTCTGAAGAACAAGAGAGTTATTTCGAAAGTATGCACGTGAGATAGTTTGAGTGCTCCATTTGGCTCTGATTCTCACCAGTGACCAGAGAAAACTAGAAACTATGATGGATTGTCAAATTCTTGTTGTTCAAGAGAGTCCTCTGCCTGTGTAGCAAAGCAGTCTTCTCATAAATTCTGAGAGGAATTTGCTGCCTGAACCCCTTTGTATTTGGTAAAATGCACAATAACACAGAGACCATTTGTACAAAAAAATGCAATAATGGTCTTGTAAGAGTACTTCCTAAAATCTTCCAGGAAAATGGAAGGACACGATATTAAATTGTCATTCAGTGAATATGTTTCTCTGGAGAACCAAGTCAATATTATCCAGTTTGCTGGGTTTTTTTGTTTGTTTTTATTTATTTTTTTCATGATCTAGCTTGAGAACACTTAGGAGATGGGACAATTTAACATTATTCTCATTTTGCTTCTCACAAGTTATCACCCTGTGCTTTGTACAGAACACTAAAAAAAAAAAAATTTAGATGGATGTGCATGTTGGACTTTCCAAAGTTGCTTTGATTTATGAGGGACTCCCCTTTGTTGTGGCATATATGTGATCCTTGGAATGTTTTCTGCTCTTTATTCCCCTTGGCAGCCTGTCATCCCTCTTGCCTGACCTGTGTGGGTGTAGAACCTTCTCACTGTACCCAGTGTAAGAAACCAGAGGAAGGACTACAAGTTAAGCAGCTTTCTGGGGCACACCCCCCCTCTGGAGAGTGTGTCTCCCAGTGTAGAGCCCAATTTTACTTGGAGAACACTGGGCAGTGTGAAGGTGAGTAAGCATGATTTGAAGTAATGTTCGGCAACTTCCAGGCTTAGCATTAGGGAGATCCTGTGAGGTGGGAGCAAAGCAGGATGCTTGCACATAAGATAGAGGACTGATGTGCAAAAGAATGTCCCCACAGATGTCCTCCCTTCCATTGTGAGTAACAGATGAACTGCAGGAACTAATCCCTTTTGCTTCACTGTTCCAAAAGTTATATTCTCTCAAGTTCCAGGAATCCTCAGAGTAGCTAAGAAAAACCTAGAGCTCATAGTAGAACCCCATTTATTACTTCTAATTTGCTACTCTGAGTAAGAATTAGTCTTTTCAGGGTAAAACCTGGACTTCTTTCAAAATTTAGAAATGATTCCTTCATTTTTGTGCCATTTATCTATAGAGAATTGATGCCACCCTCAATAACTTGATTCTATAACCATATTTATGTGGGTTTTTTGGTCTCCGGGGAGGTAAGGATGGCAACTTTTTAATCCTACAACCAAACTGACTTGACATTGGGTAAATTCTTTAACTATCTTGAAAAAGTATTATTACTCTTATTTTTTCACTGTAAATATGACATGTTCATTAAAGGAAATTTTGAATGTAGAAAAAGTAGAAAAGTAATCTGCCTACCACCTAAACTAAATTGCCTTTACCATTTTGCTATCATCTGTCTAAGTCTTTTTTCGTAAGCCTAGCTTTGAGTGTTAATTTTTACAATATAACTGTGAGCATCCTGCAGATTTTGTTTTGTAACCTACAAACCCACTTATTAAACTACTTTGAGATTGCTTTATTATACATCCTCACACAGAAATGCTGCATTTCAAGATTAGGTTAAAGATTTTGTACCCAGTGAGTCCTATGGCACAGTGGGAAGTGTGCACAATTGAAATATAGAGATCCCGGACCAGACACTTAAGCTCTCTGAGCCTTTGCATTCACAGGTTTAGAATAGGGATAATTATCATTCACACAGGCTTTTTACCAGGTGTAAAGGAGGTTAGGGATGTAAGGTACTTGGTAGATTGTAAAGTGTCTGTGATCACCTGGTATAAATCACAGTCCATACAGATAGGCATTTAGGAACATTATAGGAGTAACCTCCCTTCCCTGGAATGTCAGATGGCTCTGGGGATTGTCAGATGGTGCCTAGAAGTTAGGGGAAAATCATTACTCTCCAGGTACATATACTGGTTTCCTCCTTTGTGTGCATTGATTAAACTCTATGGCTCTATTTCCATAACCCCTTGTGAAATATGGGAATCTGCATTCCTAAGATTCCTACTGGCTTCGTAAAGCACATCAGTCTTCCACCCTGTGGTCTGACTACTTCCTGAGTTCTGTCCTGGGAGGTTGGTGCCTATCCTTTGTTAAGGCCCCCAAGACTCCTGGTGGGAAGGTGGGTTTTAAGAAGTGTTTTCTCCTTTCTAACTGCTTCTCAAATCTCTTCAATGGTTTTTATCAAACAAGCTTCCTTGGCAAGCCCCAAATCCCTTGAAGAAAATAATTACAGTTCTTAGCCCCTGCTGGATATAAAGAAAGTACAGGGAGAAAATACAAAGAGCAAATAGAAATTCACTTCTTCCTTTTTTCAAAAACCATGTTGTTATAGAAATGATTTTTGACTTGTTGGAATCTTTGCAACCAGCCTGCATACTTTTACACAGAGGTGGACTGTGTGATCAGAGGTATTAGAGGAAACCACAGAGATATTAAACCTCCAGAAACACCAGTCTTTCCAAGAATTCAAAGAGATGTACTCTGAGACCTTGGCTTTTATAGCACCAGGCTGAAACTCAGGCCCTTTGAGCAGCCTGGAGCAGATTCCTCATGATGGCCTGTCAACTCTGCTTTTTCTTCTTGATTTCCTTAGGAGAAATCAAGAACTCTTCCGAGCCCACTCAGTGTGGTTAGCTCCTTCCCACAATTTTGAACACTATATTGAAAGAAAAGTAAGGATTTTGGGTTGGGAACAGAAAAGAAAAACAAAAATGATAAATGTTTTTAAAAATTAGAATTGTAAATGACAATTAGAGTGACCAGGATACATAGCCAAAAACTATGTTGTCATTGAGCCAGGCACTAGGAGAGGTAACATACTTGTTTTTTTCACCTAATTTTGACAGCAACCATATGGGACAACATTTGGCGCAGCTAAAACAGTTATTTTAGAGGAGAAGATACTGGGACTTGAGTAAGTTAGGCTGTAACATGCTCAAGGTTGTATGGCTGGCACAGAGTACAGATGAGCAGGAAAATAGATCAGCCAGCTAGAATGTTCATGCTCTAAATGAGGACGCGGCCACTGTCTCTGAGTGGGCAGAAAAACATCCTGATATTGCAGGATTGCGTGTTTTAAATGTAAGAAAGTGTTCTTGACAAAAGTGAGTTATCTGGGAATTCCTTAATACAGACACCTTTTAGGAAGGATTAGAATATAATTCCCCTGGAATGGTTTAATTGTGGTCCCATGTGAAAAGAACTAGATTAACTTCCTGAGTCATTTGTAACCCCATGATTTTATGCATGTTAGCTTAATATTGTTAGGTACCCCACATATAGCTGTCTACTCACATTTATTACCAAATCCCTGTGCAAAGTCTACTTGGTAGATTGCTGTACTCGATTTATAAGTGATGAGAATGTGGCAGAAAGAGGTTAATAGAGTTGCCCGAGATTCCATTGGGAAACTGAGTGTAACCAACAATTGTTTCCAACCTTACCTGCACATTAAGTTGTTGATTGATGTATTTTCTGTCACTCATCCCATATCTCTGGAAACCTTCCTGCCATCACACAATCTGTTCCTTTTTCAATTCTGCCTAAGTGTTATTTATAAAATCAGGCCTGGGAGTCCTGTGAGATTGCATGGGCTGTCCTCAACACTCCCAGAAATACCCTTGCCTTTTTGCAGAACATTTAAAAAGATTGGAGTATCTCGTGTGTGTGTGTGTGCGCGCGTGCGTGCATGTATGAGTGTGTGCACATGTCATTGAGAGTTTATTTTATAGCACTTTGATTTCAAGTGTTTTTCTCTTCAGAAGAGAAAAACAACTATTTTCTGGAATTCTCTTCCCTTTCTCTGAGACTGCAGTGTGGAGTGATTAGAATATTACTGCAGCTAATGAAAGCAAGAGGCAGATGCTTTGCAGGAAGAAGCAATTTACTTTGAGTCTGAAGTGGTGTCAGAAGTTATCATAAAAGTTTCTACTCTGAGCTACAAGGTAAATCCAAGAATTATCCAGTAGAAGTTAAAGTAAAAACACTCCAAATAGACAAAAGTCAAAGTCTATGACTGAAGGATAAAAAATTTAAAATTAACGGTGACCAAACAGAACATTTTTTATTAGTAATCTGTCTTTATTCATTCCTTCCATAAATGTCTAGTGAGTGTCTCCTGGGTAGCAGGCATTATCTAGGCACTGGGGGCATGCTCATGCGTTAGATGAGATTCCTGCTCCTGTGGCATTTATATTCTAGTGACTGAAACAGGTAATAAAGAAAGAAGTGAATAATAACAAAAGCAATGAAGCCCATGGTGTACACTTGGCCAGGGTACAATGAAGTGGGGAGCAGGGTGTATGGGGGGGATGAACAGGTAGGCCAAGATGGGTTCCAAAGCAAAATGCTCTAGTGAGAGGCAGATGGGCTGCCTGCATGTGCTAATCCTATGTTTTTGGCTCCTTCTCAAAATTAAACTTGAGAACTTCAGACGAAGGAGCTTTGGCAATATGCTTCTTATGCACTTGGCCATAGTATGGCAGAATTACTGGTACAAAAGAGGATCCGTTACTAGTTATGAAAGATAATTTGGAGGCATTTTCAGTTGTTAACCAAAGTTGTGCATGTTTGTTAGATATTAACATTTTGGATGAGCTAAAAGGATTTTAATAATTTTATCCAAAATTGATTCCAGCTGTTTCATTATTCAAGTTTAAAATAAATAAAAAGACAGAACCCAAGAAAAAACCATTTGTCCCCTTACCCAAACCAAACAAATTACTAGTTAATAGACAGTCCATGTCCTGCAAAACAACATCAAGAAGCCATCCCTACCTTTTCACTCATTTCCCCCTCACTGACTTTCCTTGCTCTGTGAGTTGACTTGAGTGTAAATGACATTCCCAGGGCAGAGATTTGCAAAGCTCCAGGGGTGCCATTCTCATTGTAATTTAAGTGGCAGGTGCCTCCTGGAGTCATTCAGTGGCCATCCAGCCAGAGTGGCTGTACATGAAGCCAGAGGAGATGGATAGGAGGATGGAGTGCCTGTCACTGGGTAACTTCCCCACTTGCCTGCTCACTTTTCTGGCTTCCTGGCTTCAGGTCAGATTGCTCCACTCCACCTAAGACTCCTCTTCCCCTCTTGTTGAAGGTCTTTTTTTAAAGAAGTCAATTATTTTGAAGACTAAGCTTTAAGTTGAGTTCCCTCTAGAGTAGAGCTTCATATAGGAACCTCCTGGGAATCTTATTAAAATGTGCATTCAGATTTACTAGGTCTGAGATGGGGTCTGTTTCTGCATTAATAACAAGCTCCCAGGTGAGGCTGATACTCCTGATCCTTGGATTATGGTTAGAATAATCTAATTAAAGAAGGATAAGTGCTTCAATTTATTACTGGTATACTTTTTTCTAACTGAAGCAATTAAAAATCCTAATTTTTCTTTCTTTTCATTGCATGTATTATATATGTTACAGAAACCTTTAGAAAATGCAGATAAGGGGCCTCCCCTGGTGGTGCAGGTGGTTGAGCACAGCGCTGTGAAGCTGTCCACAGCCTCTACAGTGCAGGTTCAAGCCCAGCCCCCTGCGGAGATATCCACATGGCGAGGCAGACCTCTCCTGTCTCGCCCGCTGCTCCCCTCAGCAGTATATTTCGGTCAGTCTGCCTGTTCTGTTCCCTGCTCTGTCTCTGGTGAATTCTCTCACCCTCCTGCATATCTGGCCTGTACCCTGGTTCTTGTATAAATAAATAAATCTTCAAAAAAAAAATGCAGATAAGAGAAAAA